CAGTTCTATTTTTTAAAAAATTAAAAAGCAATGGATCTGATAAAATTTTAAAAGATTTTAAGATCAATTTGTTTTTCTTCTCTTTTAAAATTTGCTTTTAAAATAACTAGCCCATTATCCTGGGAGTCATTTCACAATATATTTACAAAATCAGCCTCCTTCCRTTATCTAGGTCACCTTTTTTCTTCCGCTCTAGGTATTAAAGTAAGTCTTATATAAAGGATTCCCGTTCATTGGAAGGTGCTCTTAAAGCTTTTCAGAGGATGTTGGTAGACGGGTGTTCCTTGCTGACTGTACACTCTGTTGACATCTGGCCCAAATCTCAACTGCAGGAATCTGGGTTACCTCTTGGCTCTTCAGCCTCACATCAAATATGTAAAAGCCATCACTCAGAAAGAGTGAAACCATCAACCATCTTTTATTTAAACAAATCATACAGCTATTCTAAAGTTTAAAATTATCCAGGCACATAACTCAGAGCTTAATTTTACAGGGATCTCTGAATGTGAAAAGTAAATGTAGTCACCTGATAATGGTATCACCTGAAGTGAGATGCTCAGGTAAACCCTTGATCTTCCAACCACAGCTTGGAACCATCAATACACTACCATGACCAAAGTCATTGAGTCCTATTTTTGCAGGGGATTGGGGGGACTGGGGATTGAATGCAGGGCACTCAACCACTGATTCACTCCCCCGCCATTTTTTGTATTTCATTTAGGGACAGGGTCTCACTGAGTTGCTTACGCCATCACTAAGTTGCTTCTTCTTTTTTTTTTTTTAACTTTTTAATTTATTTTTTTATGTGGTGCTGAGAATCAAACCCAGTACTGCAAACATATTAGGCAAGTGATCTACCACTGAGCCACAACCCCAGTCCTGGAGGCTAGCTTTGAACTTGCAATCTTCCTGCCTCAGGCTCTTGAGCTGCTGGGATCATAGGCATGTGCCACTGCACCTGGTGAGTCCTTCTATATTTTAAGTGCAATAGGGAGTTAGAAACAGTGGCCTTCTATTATGGTTTAGACATTAAGTGTCCTTCAAACGCTCACGTGTGAGGCAATGCAAGAAAGCTTAGAGGTGAAATGATTGGGTTATGAGAGCCTGCACCCAGTCAGTGACTTAATCCCCTGATTGGGATTAACTGGGTGGTAACTATAGGCAGGTAAGGTCCCCTGGAGGAGCGGGCATGCCTTTGGGTTTATATTTTGTCCCAAGTGAAGGAAGCAGTCTCTCTCTGCATGATATTTTGCGTCACCTCAGACCCAAGGCAATAGAGTCAGCCCTAGAGCCTGGCAGCTGAGATCCTCTATGAGCCAAATGGGCTTAACAAAGTGAAAACCACACTTGATAAGCCACAGAAGCATGCCTCACAGACCTCCAAGTAGGGGATCTCAGCTGCCAGGCTCTAGAACTTGCCTGGAGTTTGGGCCATGGCCATATGCTCCATGGGCTGTTCCCAGCAGTGGCTGACCACAGCAGGCATGCCAATGACTTGTTCCTGGGAAACATGGGACTCCTCTGACTTTGACTCAAGGGCTCCCCAAAACTTTGCTAAATCTTTCTTCGACTGCAACAGTGGGCTAGCACTCTGATCTCAYAAGCCCTCCCTCTCTCCTTTACATGCAGAGAGAGCTGGACGGCTCAGCCAGCCTTAATCAATCCCACCACCCCATTTTCTCTTGCCTAAGTGTCCCCTTAATAAAATTGTCCCATGTTTCATCGTGTCTTGGCAGTTGTTTCTCAGAGACCCTAACAGGTAACTTCCAAACAGGGCAATGTTCTTTGAAAAATTAATAGCTTCACCTTTTAACCATCCTGTTGATCTTTTTTTTATCATAAATTAATATATTATACCAAAATATAATACTATAACCTGTAACACTTATAATAAATTCATATACCATGCAAAATTTGACCGTAAGTTATTAGTCTCCTTTGAATTACAAATGATTAGTCTTCCTCATGATTCACACCTTAGGCACATATTAAATAAATTATCACTTATACTTTTGGGAGAATGAATTGATTCAGACTATAAATTTCATTGCCCAATTTGGACTTGAATCTTATTTTCAAACATGAGTGATATGCATTTGAATAATACGCAACTTGAATAAAAACGTGAACATCTTTGATTCCATACCAACCTTCCATATTCACTGGCAAAAAGGGAAACGTATTAAATGTCATTCTACCATTTAGCTAACAGAGTCCTCCTCACAGGATGCAGATCAGTTTTATAATTATTTATAATATATTTAACAAATTTCTACTCACATACACACAAAAAAATTTATCAGTAACTCTGGCGTTAAATTTGAAGATTAAAAACATGATTTGTCAACATGACCCATGATGCTTAGAACTAACTATCTTATAGATTTTGGTGCATGCCTCATTTCAGAACCTGCTAGACTGAAGAGCTCTTGAGATCAGGAGCTGTTTTATTTAGATGATTTTTTTTTTCATTACTTTCTGCCACAGTTCATGGTATATTTTGCACATAAAACCTACTTAATTAATGTGCCTTCTTGATATTGTGAATGTAATAGGAGCTCATCCTTCCCCTCACTGAGGGCACGGATTCTGGTAATGTGGAGTGTGGGGTATGGGGGCTCCTATACACTACCAGCTGCACCTGCTTTAAATTCTATAAGTAACAAGAGTTACAGGCCCACGGGCTGAATGGAGAAGAGAGTCATGAGCAGAGCCTTCTGTGAGCCTGATGCAAAGAGGTTTTCAGGCAGTGTCTGAAGCAGAGGATGGCCCCCTCGGATCCTGAGACCCTCTAGGGCTCTCATTTCTTCCCAGCCAGCCCCCCGCCCCCAGGGCAGAGAGCCTTAGGGGAAAAGATGCCTCCCACCATTAAGGCTGTTGGGGTTTGTTGATGATGCTTGTTAGTCTGCTGGGATTTTTTTGTTCCAATACAACTTTATTTTTATTGACTTGTAATCATTGTATATATTTATGGCATCCGGTGTGATATGTCGATCCACATGTATTGATGAGACCAGGATAATTAGTATTTTCGCCCTTTTTGTCCTTTTTCCACATTTGGAGACTTTGAGTTCTTATCCTGTAGTTCATGAAATGTACAATGGGTTATCATGAACTATGGTCCCCCGCCCCCGCCCCCGCCCCCGCCCTGTGCAACACTTGAACCTCTATGAGCTGTGCTCTGGAAGCCTCAGCCACCTCCCTCTTCCTGACCTCCCCCAGTGCCACTCAACCTCTGGTAGTCAATGTTCTACATTCAGGCTGCTCTTTTTAGCTTCCACGTGGAAGAGAGAACATGCAGCATCTGTCACTTAACCTAATGAACTCCGGTTCTATCCATTTTGCTGCAAATGACAGGATTTCATTCTTCTTAAAATTTCCTTTGGCCTCCTATGCTATGCCATAGTTGTAAGTGGAATAAAACCCTCTATCATTAGGGGAAAATGATGTCTAGAAACATCTTACGTATATATTCAAACCTAAATAGTCAATTCACAGAGGCCAGTGTCCCTACCTCTACAGTGGACTGAAATAGATACAAATATTTCCCAAAGCCAAATATGAAATAAGTAAATATTTTCCCTTCTGTTTTTAACTGAGGGCCTAGCCATTGCTTTTGTATGTTTGAAACTTGGTCTAAAACTAACATGCATGTGCTCAGACTGAAAGTGTATATTGTCTTATTCACTAATTAGACATTAGGTGCCAGGATTTGAATCAATTTTAAAGCTACAAAATATTACCATTTCATGCCAAATGTGTTATTGACTATGCATGCATCCATAGAGCAAATGATATAAATGTCAATCTTCAGTAGTTGAATTTATGTTATTAACACTGCGAGACACTGAGAATTTTTCAGATACGCTTCCAAATAACTAAGCAGTCCTATACACATATCTTTTATGTCCACTGGAAAGGCAAATAATTCATGATATTTCCCCTGTTTGGAGAAAAAAAGAGCACATAATTTGGGTACTCATCATACTATTTGAAAGCCTATAAATATTTATAAACTTAGCTATTAACCTTCTCAAGGACCAATATTTTGATCATTCACCCATGGGTTTAATCAAACAACCTCAAGACTCTGAGACTATGCACAGGGAACATAAGGAATGATTAATGGAGGTACAAATAACTGAAAAGGTCAAAAAATTAAAAGATTTTATGTACTATCTTGGACAAAATGTTCCAGGTTAGTGTCAAATAACAGACTAGCAATGTAAACCAATTTAAAGACGCCTCCCCCACTATCAAATTATGTGAAATATCAATACTCTATCATTTATAACTAAAAATAAAATCTTCCTTAAGGTTAACTTCCCTATTTTTTAATTCAGTCCCTGTTGGCAAGTATTAAAAATGCATACATATTTTAATGTTAAAACGACAATCATATGTTTCTACTGCAGAGAGGTTATCAGAAGTAATGATGGCAATAAGTAAGAATTATAAGTCACTCACTTACCTTGAGTTTAGGCTTGAGTGGCTGGCAACTACAAGGTTGCAACCAGGCAAACAAGAGCCAAGCACCACCTCAAGCATATTTGCTCATTGGAAGATGAGCAATTGCCTTCTCCTTACATTTCTTTTAAAACTTATCCTCATTTTATCATTAGATGAGGATTTGTATACTTGGCAGCTGATTGACATGGACTTTGTTATTTCTACCTTMATTTGACATTTTTGAGGTGTGAGAATAAAATTGTGTTTCTTCTGCTGGGCTAACACATGACAGAGACCGGGGTGACCTTCCTCCCAGAGGAGGATGTTTGGTCATCCCACAGGGAGCCCCTCCGAACCATTACTTACGTCTGCATCTTGATCATCACTCAATTCATAATTAAAATGAGGGCAAAGTCTTGGACATGATGAAGTGTGTGTGTGTGTGTGTGTGTGTGTGTGTGTGTGTGTGCGTGCTTGAGTGGCTGTAAGGCAATTCTTCTGACCCAGGGTCATGGATAATGATTCAGGGAAAGGTTACTTCTCTCACTTACCTGAGATCCTGCCCAGTACGAGAGATTTGATGGCACTGAATTCTGTGCCTGATGCCAAGTGAACTTGTCTCCTTATATTCTCGTCAATCTACAAAATTGTCACGAGGTGCACATATCCAAATGAATGTTGTTTTGTAGAAACAAGAACAGGAAGAAAAGAAAGAGAAAAGAAAATGATGAAAGAAGCAAGTCTAAGTTTGGCCCTAAAGGGTTAGAAAAAATATATACTTAAAAAGACTTAAAAAGGTGGATTTTTTTTCTATCTACACTCAGGTACCATTCATCCCACCTTCCATCCCGTTAGATAGCTTTAATTTTTTTCTCCACTGTATGAGGAATCCAAGATTGGTAAAGCCAACCAAAAGGGACAAGATATTTTTTACCTCAAAGCTTGATATTTTTACTGGAGTCTTACAGTTAAGACACTTTCTTCTGTATAGAGGGTTGGAAAATCAGTGCTTTTCTTCAAAAGCTGTTAAAGTGAATAATTCCAGTTTCTCTGTTGGGACTTATATTTTTCTTAAAAATATATTCTGTTCCTACATTCATTTTCTGTTTAGAATTATTGTTGGCTTTATACCCATCCTATAAGTAGACATTTTCCTTGGAGTAGTGATGGACCTACACTAATGATAAACTAAGACATCTTTTCCCTACCAACCAGGGAAAAGCCAGTTAGGAAAATCGGACATTTTAAGTATCAGATATTAATAATACTTTGGGCAGAATTTTATTGCTTAAAAAACTGACCACATTCAATAGTCTACCTATGATCTGAAGAGGACCGTTGTTTGTTCTATTCACAATCAAATTTTTACAACAGGTGCTCTATGCTGGGAACTCATAGAACAACTATGGCTTCTGATGGATATTCTCCATTACCTCTACAAAGACCACTCCTTCTTCTCTGTTAATCTTTACGTGGTGAAGTTGCCCATCAGCCATGCTTTTAAAATCAAAGTTAACAACATCAGGTTCTTGATATCTATTTAGCTTGTACCTTATCTGCAAACTTCCTAAAGCAGAAAAAAAGTTATATTTTGAATAAGAATTGCATTTAAAAATCTATAAAAACTCATAATCCTTGTATTGCTGCTGTTTATTCATATCCAATGGGAAATTCACAATCATTCATTTGGGTGTGCCCTCTAAATTTAATTCCTAAAAGTCAATTTCTAAGTAAAACTACAATATTTTCAAAATCAAGACCAAGCATATTGTTCATATGCCTTCTCTTTCTTGCATCCCTTCTGCACTAGTTTCTAATTTAAACAAAGGAAAATAAGACTAAGTATCTCTGAAATGTTAAATTATTATGGACTACTGCAATGATATTCTCTTTATATAATCATATTTAAAATATATATCTCAGACTACTGGAAGATAGTTAACTAATGGAATTATTACAAACAAATACACTTTTACTAAAGATGAGGAATATTTCCAACTGGTCATGGTCATAGACTTTGGAATGGAATTAGGGCGAAATGAATGATTTTAAGCCAAATTTGCCATTAGACTTAATATTAATGGCCTGCAGAGATTTCAAGTAATTTATTTCATAGTATGCCTTGCAATTTAAACAATAAGAATATCCTAATGTATATATAAGCTGCAAGCTAAAACCATACAGTGAGGGTAAATATACTTACTGAACAACAATATTTTTATTGAGGTGTTCAGTGCTCTTGGGCCATATTTGATTTTGTTGAAATAACATATTCACACATTTGTATATTTGTTTATTTTCTCATCAAGAAAACATATTTCTAAAATTCTCATCTTTAATCCAGATGTAAGGTAGAGAAAAATAGCAGTGAGTGGCTTTCTGTCACAAGGTTTCTATCACACACATATTTCCTAATCCACATATCATGACCCTGAATGGACACACAGTGTTCCCGTAGTTCATTGCCTATTATTAGAACTAACATATCATCTTGTGGGCATTTTCTTCTGCATGATGCTGGTTCCTTAACAACTCCCTWAATACTTATTTACTTGATTAGAAGGAAATATTTGTCATATACAAGGAGATATTTTATTTGTAAATGTACTAACTGCGAAACTGATACTGAGAGTCTCAATATAATAAACACTTTATATGAATTGCATATGTAAAATTATCAAAATTATAAAGAGATAAAGGCATCTTAGTTATTTTAAATAATCTCTTTAGATTAAATTTGTAAAAAAGCAAATATTCTGAAAATGAGACATTAATATACAACATAGGTGCACTCTTTGTTCCCTGGTAGTAGTCTGAGAAGCAAGTACCCAAGAACGATTCATATTAGTGCCCTACAATCCTAATTCAATTTTCTTTCTCTCATCTAAATAGCACTCACCATTTTTGGCGATGATAACAGAAAGGTATTCTTTGTAGAAGGAGCTCATGTAAATCAGTAAGCTGGGTGCCCGTGTTGTTCGGAAGCTAAATTTGATCATTTCTCTGCTCAGTTTCATATCACCATGAAATGAAGCAGCGTGGGAGCTTGAGTTTTTACTTAAGGAATAATTTTCTTGAAAATTGTAAATCACAGATGAGCCAGATCCAAAATATGCAGAAATCTCTGGAAGGACATGCATATTTTATGTTAAAACATTTAAGTACAAGCATCTTGTTTTAGTTATGTTAATTGACATCGTAATATTTTTAAGAAATGAATTCCATAGGTAGAAGAAGCAGTATCCAACCAGAATAACGTAGTCAACGAACAGGACTCTCATAATGGCTCTTAAAATGGCTGTATGTTAGGATGACACAAAATTAATTCATTAATGTAACTTTAGAACTGAAAGCTTTTAGTTAGTATCTCTTCTCTAAGTTCAGACAGAAGCCAGGCTGCCTGTCTTCAGCTCCTTGAATATCCACTTTCTTAATCTTAACTGTTTATTATTTTGTAGTTAGGACACATGCATCTCAAATTTACACACAAACACACACACACACACACACACACACACACACACAAATACACATGCATGCCAATGAAGAGGGTAGTGGGAGGAAGAATCGGTTTTGAATATAGTGCTTCTTCCCAGCACTATAAAGGACTGTTTGTTGAATATGCATGTAGATGATGCTTAGTGGGTCATCTAATTCCTTTGGCATTTCAGGGCACCTTTTATATTCAACACAATGTGTGTGTGTGCATGTGTATGTGTGTGTGKGGGGGGTGTGCACACATGCGCCCACGTGCCGAGAAACATGACTGATTTCACTTAGCAACATGAACTAGAAACTATATCTAGAAAATGAAGACTGGTTCCCAGGAAGAAGGGGCTTAACACTAAATGTAAAAAGCCTCCTAGAGGGACCAGCAGTGCGCCATTATTATCACAATTCAATTTTTAAATTACAGCTTAGTCTTGATAAAAGTAGATGCCTTTAAAGGTGCACTTTTGCCAACTTTCACTAACTGATTCCAATGCTTTCTTTGCAAATCAGGAGTTGCTTTGATTTGGAGCCAATTTCTGTTAGCCTCCTTCAGGAAAATGTTCAGCAGCCCAGAGACACTTAAACAAAGTAATTGAATTTAAATTAATTAAGGTCAGTTTTCTATGACAAACTATGCAAGTAAAATAAATGTTTGTGTATTCAGAGAAGTCTGTCCAGAACACTTAAACTTAATCTTGTTCTTTTCTTCTTCCATGACATGTATCAGTTAATAATAGAAGCTACAAAATATACTGTTATTTTATTTTACCAACAGATATTCATCATATCATACAACAAAATGTGTGTCTCTATTTTGTTGTACATCAATATTTAACAGAAAATATTTGTTTGGCCAAAGCAACCCAATAAAAATAAAAATAACGCTTTCTATATTCCCTTGCATTGCTGAACGTCTTGGTCAAAAATAACAATACAGCTTTTAATGATTTTAAAACAGAGAACTGCCCCATGGGGCACGCTGTTGACAGGCATATTCTTTAACAGCATCAATATTAGATGGAAAAAAAAAAAACGCAAACTGAGCCGCTAACACTTAAAGACACCTAGAGGCGACTATTTGTGAATTTATCTGCAATAGACACTTCTTTTTCAAAAACCAAGTCAAATATCTAAGGAGTAAAATATGATTGGCATTCAATAGATACTCTGCAAAAGAAATTCAGAGTGGAAATAGTTTTGTCTTGAATGGCTACACTGCAAGGAACTAACAGACGTTTTATTCATAATGGATAAATTTCCGCCTTAGAATGTCTCATGTCACACTTACCATGGGAACAGAAGGGCCCTGTGTAGGCAGAGGAAGAGCAGTCACAGAAGAACCCACTGGGCTTCTCCCTGCACTTCCCTCCATTGCGACATAACTTCCCGTAGCTGCCACAGTGTCCTCGACAGCCAGGCTGCACCCCAGGAGTCACCATGGCTCTCTCCTCCAGATCCAGGGCCATCCCATTCAACTGCAGAGACCGGATGCATCCCAGAAAGCCCCTCTGTCTGGTGGCTGTCCCCCCTGGAAGGGAAACACTGCAAATGCAAACATGTTCCCAGGTGTTTTATTCAAAATTTAAATACCAAACCAACCTGTGGCCTCACAGGAAAGAGTAAAAATGGGGACTTGACATCAAATGACCAAAATTAGAGCAGCACTATATAACCCTGCGATCCCGCTCCTTAGTATTGACCCAGAAGAGTAAAGAGTCAGCATGCTTTAGCGATACATGCACACCATGTTTATCACAGYGCAATTCACAGTTGACTAGTCACAGAACCAGACAGGGTATCCACCAACCAATGACTGGATACAGAAAATGTGRTACGAATGCACAGTGGAGTTGTATTCAGCCATACAAAGGAAAGAAATTATGTCATTTGCAAGAAAATGCATGGATCTGAGTGAAATAAGCCAGGCTCAGAAAGACAAGTATTGAGTATATTCTCTTGTATGTGGAAGCCAGAGGGAAAGTCAATAAATAAAAGGGATGTCATAAAAGCAAAAGGAAGACTATCAGGGTAGAGAAAGACCGTCAGCAGAAAGGTAAAGGGAGATATTGGGGAATTAAATTAATGAAATTGTGTTATATATAAGTAAGAATATGCCACAATGAAACCCCTTGTTATTTATAATTATTAGGCAACAATAAAGCATTAGAAGATCAATTATAATTTAGAAAACAACTTTCTTGACTAACTCTAGGCTTCAAAAGGGCACAGCATAAATTCCATACTTGTTTTCTAAAAAAAAGATTAAGCTTATCTTGAAGAAGTTTTCTTTTTTTTTTTTTAGTTTCATTATTTCAAGGAACCACATCGACCTTACTTTCRTTAAAAATAATAAACATATGTATTATTATTGCTATGTAGTTTTTTGCTTTTACAATTTTAAATAAGCATGTGTCAGGGGGTAACTGTCTCTTGAAACCTGATCCTGGCTCTGTTAGTTTGAACTCCACGAGAATTATTAGAGAATCCTTGAGCTTTCCCAATGTGACTCTGCATCGATATAATCATTATCCATTTATTAAAAAGACAGTAATTGAGTATCACAGTAGTTACTTTTTCTGGGATATTTCCCAGTGATTTTTTTTTTCCTAAAGGTTGGTCTGACCTTCATTGTTTTAGGCTTGGGAAGGTTCTCAAAGGGAATTGATGAAGAAACTGTGGCATCTACTGAATACATAACTTGCATTTATCAAGTCAACCCTAAAGAGGTCTGGGATGTTTGCTTGAAATCACACCTAATTATCCTAAGGCAGTTCTCAAACTTTAAGGRATGTGAGTATCACAAGGCGGGCTTCTTAAAAATATAGCCACGGAGGGCTGATTCTGTGGTTCAAAGACAGGATTGAGAAGGTCCAAGTCAACAAGCTTCGTGGGTGACTTGTATTCAGATGGTCACTMGTCCATCATTTTTGTAAGCACCATCCTGAGAGGAATGTAAGACCTAGGTAGACTCACACAGAAATTTGTATCCAGTTATATTGGATACAAGTTAATTTGTATCAAGTTAATATTCAGAACTGGAAGAAAAAAAAAGAATAACATATAGCATAGCATAACAATAAATCAACAATCTGACAATTCTACTGAGGGGTGATTAGATGGTCATGGAGCTTTCTAAAATGGAACTCCATGTTTGAACAGATGGCAGGCCACTCCTGGGATCTTGTCCTACTCTGTACAGATTTTCTCTTTTCCTGGATCATATTTACTTCCTCTTCAAATTCACTTACCTAAATCTAGCCTGAATCRCTTCGGTTTTCATCCAGAGATAAAAAACTTCGTTCAGATCCCCCCAAAACTTTCCATAAAACCCTAAATAAATAGGTCTTTATCATCGTTGAGTGGGCTTTACATWTCACGAATTAATTTTGTGTTCATGTCCCTTTATTAGACTGTACATTTGACAAGAGTACTTGTCACTGCTGGTCCTTCACAGTTGTGCAGTAACTAAYGACCCCATTCATCCCACCCTTGGCTCACACAGAATGAGTAGGGTTATTGCTCCCGGGGTTCAGGAGGGGAGCACCTTCTGTCCCACAGCAATGCTTGGGGTCCTTCGCCCTGAGAAGGAGGACCAAACTCAATAAACATTTCTGAATAAACGAATAATACATTTATAGATAAAGGAATATCCTTTTTAAAAAATGAGTTCTGAGAATTTTGGACTTMTAGGGCACTAACACTGTTTAGAGTTCAGATTCATCTCTATAATAGTCTCCATCCAGATTGCCCAATTAAAATTTCTGTGTTCAAACTGCTTCAGTTTACATTACTTGTGCCTCTTCCATGGTTACAAAGGTCTTTAGGGTACAGGTCATGCTTTCTATTTATAAATTCACAGGTAGTGTGATTTGGGGTCAGACATTTTTTATGTGGGCCTGGCAAGGAAGGAGTCAATTTTATCTCAAAATTTTAGAAGAGCTGGCCATCTTCTTGCTTAATCCCTTCTACCTTTAGTCCATCTCCTGCCATTCCTGAAGTCCCTCTTCCTCCCTTATTCTTAGAACTCCTCTCTGTCTTTCCACATCTAGGTGCAACTCTTCTCAACTTCACACCTCTCTAGACTCCCGCTCAGTATGCACCTAGGGCTCCAAGTCTTCAGCCAACGTTCTTTGGGCATCTTTCCTGGGGAAGGCAGCCTTCCKTGGCTTCATCTTTGACCCAGAAACCTTAGGGAGAGGATCACATGCTGTGAAACCGAGATGAGAGGTGTATCTCTTGTATATTTCATTTACTTCAGGTCATACTATATTARGTCATGGCACATAGTCTATAGAATACAGTCACCTTAAATGGCTTTGTTATGTGTCTGCTGCTTTGAAACATCCACATAGCTCTAATTCAGGTATTTATCTTAGTATGCTAGTAGCATAACAATAACTAAATAGCTTGGGATCAAACAACTAAACACAGTCAGTTCTTAGCTATTCCAGCTTTTTTTTTTTTTCTTGTTTGTTTTGAATGATGAGGAACTGGAGGCATAGAGAAGCTCTGGGATTGGCCCACAGGGGCAACTGAGGAAATATTTAGAATAAGCACATTTAGTTAGAAGCAGAGGTTGATCAAAATCCACAAGTAACCTTCATTTCAAGGCAGCCCCCTTTATTTCCACTCCAAAAAATAGTTCAAAGGGAAACTCTTCTTTTCCTTCTAAAGCTCGGATCATTTTTTGATTTGAATGGCATTTAACTTTTCCAAGCTTCATACGGCAGCTCTTTACCTTGCACAGTGTCTGACACTGGTCTAGAAGGGATCCTAGTCTGATAATAAATTTAGACAGAGTGACAAATGAGGACCACATGGTGTTAATGGGAAAACAGACAGGAGACTGCCAAAGGATGGAGTTATAAACAGAAAAAAAAATGTGTGTGTGTGTGTGTGTGTGTTTAAGTATACCTGTGTACAAAATATAAGCTCCAGTGGTATTTGTAACAATGAGAAGAAAATCAACATTGAGCTATGTAAACAGAATGTCTTTATTCTGTATTTTCAAAGAGGTAATGTTTACCTAGTGAAATAGTTTTAAATGGCATCTTCAAGTGACGGGAAAATGTAAAGTCTAATTAGACATAAATAGTCACKACACACATGTACTGAGGATTTTTACTATACCATTAGGTTTCAGGTAAATAACTTTTTTATTATTATTATTTCCAGATGTAACTGCTCTGGAAAACATGGCTAATGTAAATGGGATTGGGCTTGAAAGCTTAATTAAAGATTGCTGTGCCTTTTCAGGGTTAGAGTATGTCCAATTAAAATGAGCTACAGTTTGATTAATTGATTCTGGATGTTTCTGCTGAGCTATTATGTTCAGAACTATCTTCCAATTAATTTCCTATCAATTTACTTGCCATGCCATATCAGACGTAATGAATTCTGGAACTTCACTGAAACTGAGTATCTTGTGAGGCTGCTTTCTGCATGGTTGAGCACAACAGGCTCTGTCCACCCACACAGCAGACTTGAGGTCTTGCACCTAAATAACTGGGGTAGGCGCCAGGTAGAAACCAGGCTAGCCTTTGCCTGTTGCACCAATCCTTCCACCACGTTCCTTATCCTCGGGAAGTTAGTCCAAGTGACAGGTGTTACTGGCACTGAGCAGGAGGTGGCTCTTTCCTATTTCCATGTTGCTTATAGCAGGAAGACCTTTGAGATAAACTTTGATTTTTTTTAAAGCAAATTATGCATGTGCTGTGCTCCAATATTATCAAGGATTAATTAGGAAAAACTGCATAATTGGCCTAGGAGCCTTGGAGAAAGAACAAAATCAAGATCTTCATACTGCCCTTTAAAATTCAAGGTTAGGGAAATCACCTTGCAAAGTCTGGAGGCTCTCCCTGACCCTGTCACTGTGGCAGAGGAAGACAAGTAAGACCCCAACCACAGCTCAGCATAGGGCAAGCCAGTGACCTGCGTGAGGGCCAACGCAGGAGCAAATCAGGAGACCAAAGGGAAAACATTGCACAGTAGATCTGTCCTTCCTCAGCCGTCCTGTGGGAAGATGGCCTTGCAGAAATGGTGATAATGAGTTAGCCAAGAAGGCTGTGAGATGACAAGTCTTTTCCCACGTGTGTTCTTCATTAAGCAAAGTCCTAGGAGGGCAGGGAGGAGGGAGACTGTTTTCAAAGAACTATTCTAGTTGAGGAAGCGGCTGGTGAGCAGCACTGACAGGCCATGGGGCTCAGGCACCTTTCCCTGAGCCAAACTCAAGGGTGAACACCTGTCCTGGGGGTGATAACCTGGGCTTCTCCCCTATAGAGGCCGCCACAGCTCTCTGATTTGACCATGCAAGGGCCAATTATGGAACTGAACTGTGGACGGTATTGGTCACATTCTCCAGTCCCAGGAGAGCCCGTCTGAATTCTGCCTCCAGTCAACAGTCACGGAGGTTTACCCACTGGACCCAACAAAGTGCACTGGGGGCTTCGTCGGCTAATCATGAAAAAGACACCTCGAGGGAGGCAGGAGAAGATAATTAAAACAAATGATATGATTACCTTAAAGAGA